CAATTAAAATATTTTCAAAGTCATTTTAATCTTTGATAAATTAACGCTTAAACTGGTGTTTGAGGTGAATGGGATGGTGTAGAGAAATTGTAAAGAAATATCACAGATGTTGCTTGACCACTTGTGGAAAGCAAACTCCTGAGTGGGACCTGAACTAGACTAAAATATAATTGGGAAATATTTTTTAAAAATGAACAAAAAATTCAATGAAACATAGATAACATTACATTTTAAGACTTAGTCAAAATTCAGTTGCAGGATCCTTGAGTATGGATTAGTAGTCTCATTACTATTTGACATACTAGTGTAGATAATGAATGTTTGTTTTAGGGTAGGGAGAATAGTCACAAATGCACTCCTGTTTCTCAGCACATATAGAATGATTCTGTATTCCACATTCAAATTTTCCCCTTCTCTCACTCTCTTGTCACTCCCACCCCTCATTTTTCTCATTACTTTTTTTTTTTCTGTCTTCTTTCTCAAAGGTCCAAATGCATGGTCTGAATTGTTGGGGGCTGTTTGTAGAAACAATTTTGTTCCCTAAGGCTTCCTGTGCAGACCCCAAGAACCCATTTGAAGCAAAGGGTCTACTCTTTCTTAGCACAGATGTCACATAAAGATATGACACTTTAAATGAATTAAGCACACTTGCTGTTCTAAGCTTCACAACCATACTGAGATAACATTGGTGCTAAAAGATGTAACTTGGAATCATTAAAGGCACTGTAAAATTTTTGAGATGCCTGCAAAAAGACAGAATGCATAATGTACTCAGCTCGTTAGCTCCTCACTGTCTCTCCAAAGAAGGTCATCTTGGAATTATTATTTGGACTATCTTTTGACTATCATTGTCCTATGAATCATTCATTCCCATACAATCCTAAACAGTCACCTTGTCCTTCAAGACTATATACATTGGGGTGGCTGACCAAGAAATATTCTTCCCATCAGACCTGTACTGTCAGAGTAACTCCTTTCCTTTGCTCTTTTTTTTCTTTTTAATGCTCATTACATTGATTATCCCGCTCTCCCTTTTCAATCAAGTCACAAAATTAAGTGTGAACATATGTCAAGGTTTAAAATATAAGTGCAATACAGTAAGTAAATGTGAAAATGAAGATAAGGTCGTTAGATTGCTTGTAATATTTACTGAATTGTCTTTTATGGATTGCTTGCTAGGCTTATATTCTATTTAGCACATATTTTCATAGATGTACATAAATGATAGATATTTACAATTCTTTGATGGGTTTCATTTTTATTGTAACAATGTCATATCTATTTCTTATGATGCCTGAGCCAAAGAAATGATCATTCATTTAGAAAATGTCTTCATTTTTTTTAAAAGAATACAATATTCATGTATACAGGGGGATTGTATTAAGAAGTAAAGATTCTGATAGTGGGGCAAGAAACTTCTGGAAAGGAGAGCTGCGTGGGAGAAAGATTCATGGAATTGTTCAGCGCAAGATCTAAGGAACAGTCACCCATGAAGTTTACTAACTGGAAAATAAGAATAAAATGAAGGCCCTGTGAATCAGGAATGAACTTCTGTGACTGGGATGAGAGTCAGTCAACAAAGATTTTTTTAAACAGCTATGTTTCATTCTGCAGTGCTAAGCTTATAGGTATACATGAGAAAGTAAAAGACCTCTCACCTTAAAGAACTCATAGTGTGATGGGGGAGGGAGTGACAATATTCAAATAACTATGCAAAAACAAACCATATACAGGATGAATTTGAAATAATCAACAGATTTAGAATTAAGGAAGGAAATAAGCATTTCTTAAGCTCCTACTATGTGCCAGGCATTGTGCCCAGAATTTTATAAGGATTATCTTTTTTGTTCCTCACAACAGCCCTAGGAGGCAGGTGCTCTTATCATCCCCATTTTGCAACTGAGGAAACTGAGGCAAACAGAAGTTAAATGACTTGCTTAGAGTCATACAGCTGAGGCTGGATTTGAACTTAGGCCTTTCTGACTCCAGGCCCATTAAACCTGAACTACTTAAGGACTCAGGCTTGCTATCCACACTTCCAGGCTCTGTGGATTGTATCTTTAACCTGTGAGTCTCTATGGCTGAAACACCAGGCAGGGAAATATCGCTGGATACAGTCCTCTGCCTATGTCTGAACAAAGGTTCCCCTTAGATCAAACAAGGTTGTTAGTTTATCGTACACAGTGGAACTTCACTGGAAACATCACTGGTTTGAACAACTTTTGTAAAAATAGTGGGTGATCTCTTTTATTCAGAAGGGGACTGCTGGGCTAAATTTTCAACATTTCTTTCCTTCTGCTCATCAGAGAGTCCAACTATTTCTTCTATAGACAATAGGTAGTTGTGATAAATTCTTTCCATAGGATCCTCACCACTCTTGGGCTGCTCCATAACTAGGCAAGCTGTCCTGTATTTTGACAACTTGGTATGGAGTACTTTTCTTTTGATCTACTAACTTTGAATACCAAGGGTCCTCAGCAAAACCATATATCCTCAGTGAGAGTCTTGACAAAGAATTTGGGTATCATACTATCATTTCTTTCTGTCAGAGCTCTTTTGAGCTGAAGTCATAGTGAGTTCGTAGACTTCTTACATCTGACAGATCTGCTGGTTGTGAGTATTTGTAACCTCTCCTTCTGAGACTTTAAGTCACAGGTACATTGAGAAAGTTTGAAAACATGTGCAAAATATACCTGCCACTTCCACCAAGGGCTAGGTTGGTATATCTTTTCAGATCTCTTCATTTAAGTCTCACTTGATTTTTATAGTTTTATTACATTTACTTTTGGTTTTCTTAGTGTGTCATTGTCCTTTCCATTTATGTTGTTGTGCGTGTATTGTTTTCTTGGCTCTGCTTACTTCACTCTGTATTAGTTCATATAAATCTTTCCATGCTTCTCTGTACTCATCACACAAATAATTTCTTAAAGCATAGTAGTATTCCATTCCATTCATGTACCACAATTTGTGTAGCCATTGCCTTGTTGATGGGCATCTAATTTGTTTCTTATTCTTAGCTAAAGGGCTGCTATAAATATTTTGGAGTATATGGGGATGTTATTCTTATTGATGCTTCCTTTGGGTTATAGGCCAGTATGAGTATGGACATTTTAGTCACTTTATTTGGACAATTCCAAATGTTTTCTGAAATGGTTGTACCATTTCACAATTCCACCAACAATGTATTAGTGTGCCTATCTTCCCATAAGCCCTCCAACATTAACTATTGCCATTGTCATTTTTGCCAATTTGTAGAGTGTGAGGTGAAACCTCAGAGTTGTTTTGATTTGTATTTCTTTAATTATTGGTGATTGGAAGTATTTTTTCATGTGGTTGTGAATACTTTGCAATTCTTTTGAGAACTGTTTGTTCATATTCTTTGACCATTTATCTTTTGGGGAATATGTTTCTCTTCTAATTTTTTATAGTATGATCTTTAATATTAAGGTCATCTATCCATTTAGAATGTATTATGGAGTGTGATATAAAATAGTGGTCCAAGCCTGCTTTTTGCCCAACTGCTTTCTAGTTTTCCCAGCACTTTTTTTTTCCAATCACATGGGGACTTTTTTTCTAGATAACATGTTTTCCTCTTTATCAAATGTTGGTTTATTGAGTTCTATGGTTTCTGAATCTCCCTTGTCTAATTTGTTGCATTGATCTTTCTCTTTCTTTTTTAAACAATACCAGATGGTTTTGAGGACTGTTGCTTTATAACATAATCTGAAGTCTGAAAGTACTATTCTCCTTTTGTCCTTGTTTTTTTTTTTTCATCATTTCTGTTGATATTATAGATAATTTTTTCCCAGATGAATTTTGTTATTATTTTATCAAGTTCTATAAAGTATCCTCTTGGTTAGTTTGGTTAGTATAGCATTAAAGTATAAATTAATTTTGGTAGTATTGTCATTTTTATTATATTGGCAGGGTCTAGACATGAGCATTGAAAATTTCTCCAGCAATTTAGGTTGTTCTTTAATTCTTTAAGGAATGTTTTGTAATTAAATCTATACAAATCTTTTGTATGCTTTGGGAGGTTGATCCCCAGAAATTTTATGCATTTTATAGTTGTTTGGAATGGAATTTCCCTTTCTATTATTGCTTCTTGTGTTCTGTTATTATTGTGTGGAAATGTTATTTTGAGGATTTTTTTGTACCCTGCAACTTTGATGAAGCTGTTGTCTCAATTTATATATTTGCTGATTCTTTCAGATTTTTCCAAGAAAATCATCATAACATTAGTAAACAGGGATAGTTTTATCTCCTCTTTACCTATCTTTATTTCCTTTAATTCCTTTCTCTTACTGCTACTGCTACCATTTCTAATATTATATCAAATAATAGTTGAGAGAGTGGGCATCCTTGCTTCATTCCTATATTTTTTGGAAAAGGTTCTAGTGTGTCCCCATTACATATTATGCTTGCTTTTGGTTTTAGGTAGATGCTTTATGATTTTTAAAAAGGTTCCTCCAGTGCCTATACTTTGTAGGGTTTTTAGCTTAACAGAGTGTTATAATTTGTCAAAGGCTTTTTCTTTATCTGTTGAGATGATCAAGTGGTTTAGGATATTTCGGGTCAAATCACCTTGCTAGCCTTTGCAAACAGGTTTGCCATGTTATTTTAGGCTAGATAGCTTTCATGCCCTGTACAAGTCCAAAAGGCTGTCCTTTAAGATTTTTCCATTAATTTAATTTTCTTTTCCATCACAAATACCTACCATTTCTGTAGTGATTCTATCACATGGTTGAACAAAACCACTCATCTTTGTTTCTCAGTGGGAGATATGGTACTTTTTCAGAAAAGGTTTCTACCTTAGACCTATCACCATCCTCCAGCGGTGAATATATAGTTTCAGCCTTATCAATAGGTGCTATTTCTTTTTCTGCCATAGACGATTTTAGCCTTTTACTCAGAGGTAAAATTTCTTTTTCTGAACTAGGTTTCCCTCTTAGTCTCTCAGCTGACAAGCCTCTTTCGTAATTAAAGCTTCTATTTTCTTTAGCTGATACTCTACTTTGGGAGGATGAGGCCTGGAGGTAACTTCGCAGCTGCCATCTCCTACTGTGAGTATGTAAGAAATTTTTAAATGATCAAATGACAAAATCATATACTTATTACAATAATTAGCATCACTGAATAAAATAATTTTCATTATATAAATGCAGCAAATTGATCATGATAGAAGGTATTCTATTACAGACAAAAACATAAAGCAAGACAAAATTTAAAAAATTAAGATTTAAAAATATTAGGACTGGAAAAAAATCAGTGAATAAACCTAAAAATATTTTTAAATGAGCATCTGAAAAATAAATTGGTAAAAAGAAGGGCAAATATATCCAATTAGACAGCAAGAAATGCTGAACTAAAATTCTATGCCAACTAGAAAACAAAAAACCTTTTTTTTTTTTTTGCAAGGTAAGGGAGTACTAGTATGGCTTCAAAGATTCTGGTTGCAGCTTCCATATCTACCCACAAAGGGGAATGTGAGAGTGAAGACAGGAGCCCTTAAGTTATAAATAGTAACTGTTAGCCAACTATGACCTTGCTAAAGCTTGAGCATGTACAATCAGAGCTCTTTGGCTGTAAACACTCATGCATTCACAAGTTGCTCTATTTTCCCACAAGCCAGGATTTCAGTTAGACAGCTACACTGGAAGCCTGTCACCTCAATGTTCGTGTCATCCCTAAAGTAGCAGTCTTTCTTACAGTTGGCTCTCACCTTTTGTCTCAACCTAGGTTCATTTAAAAAGAAAATAATTCTAGCATTCTAATTGGTATTCATGTACAGTCTGGAAGGTTATGAAAATAACAGGTTCTCTCTCTCTCCTTCTCTCTCTGTCTCATTTGCCCTGAGCCTGCCTGCTTTGGGAGAAAGACATAAAAATAAACAAACAAACACTTCTGTCCCTTTAAAGGTTTTGGCTTCTCACTTCTCTCTAACTCTGTACATTCAAAAACACCAGCACGTTCAAGTTGATGCCCACTATTTTGCTATTATTTTGACAACTTAGAGATGCAAGTAAACAGGAAAACAAAGCTTCCCAATGTTAGCTTCTTTGTTGCTTGCATAAGGAGGTACAAGGGGAAATGCAGGGGAAGTAAGAAGTGGCTAGGTAAACAAGATTCCTGGATGAAGGCTGGGTGGAGAAAGGGCTTTGGTGGAAGATACAGATTATGTCACTAACCATTGCCTAAGTTGGTAATCTCAAAAGTAGGATGCTCCCTATCAGTCCTGCCCTAGGGCTGGATGAAGCCAGAGTCCAAGAAGGCTGTTTAATTTTTGGTCTTCAAAAAGATTTAGTAACTTCTGTCTAAAGGTCTTATCTTCTCTCCCCTAAATTATTTCTGTCTTTCATTCCACTAATCCTTTTAACTCTTATACACATATCCTTACTCCCATCCAAGTACTATTAGTTATTGCATAAATGAATGTTTTTCATAAATTATGTTATATATTCTTAACTATTATAGAAAAAGGCTCTTTAATTCGTATTTAGGTACCATTAAGTATCACCTATCACAGTGAAGAGACATTTCCCAAGTGACTAATGTTGTTGTCAGGGTATTAGAAATCATCTAAAGGAAAAATGTAGTAGCTGATCTTTTTCCAAGCATCAGAGAGAATAGTATAGGGTAAACCTTGTAGAATGATCTGTCAGTCAACTAGTATTTTTTGAGCATCAACAACATGTCAGGTACTATGCTAAGACCTGGGGATACAAAGAATGGTAAAAGACAGTCCCTGATCTCAAGGAACTTACAATTTAATGATGGAGATGACAGTCAAATACTTATTCAGAAACAAGATAGATACAGGATAAATCAGAATAGCATTAAAGAAAGGCTTCTTGCAGAAGGTGAGAGATTAGCTGAGATCCAAAAGAAGCCAAGAAATCTAAAAGGCAGAGATGAGGAAAGAGGGAGTTCCAGGCATGGGGTGCAACCTTTGAAAATGCATGAAGTTGGGAAATGGAATGTCTTGTTCAATTAACATCAGAAGGTCAAGGTTCTGGATTATAGACAATATGGGGTGGGAGGTGTAAGGTATAAAAAGACTGGAAAGGTAAGAAGGGTCGAGATTATGGAGGGCTTTAACAGCCAAGCAGAACGTTTAATATTTGATCCTGGAGGTAATAAGGGCCCAATTGATAAAGCAAAGTCAGGCTTCTTTTATAGGAAGATCAATTTGACAGCTGAAGGAGGATGGACTGGAGTTGGGAAAGACTTGAGGCGAGGCAAGCAACCAGCAGGCTATTGCAATATTCAGGCGTAAGGTGACGAGAACCATTGTATTAGAGTGGTGGTGGTGTGGTTTCGTGGTTTGTTTTGGGGTTCATCTCGATTGAATTCTCAGAGTCAGACCACCTCTAATCCAAATAAAGGCTTTTATTGGAATGAGGCTTCCAATGGGCTGAGTTCCAAGAGGAACTAGCAACTTAGTAAGACAAGACAGGCAATTTTATAGTGTTATGATGCTGATTACACAACAGAAATTATTAATATTAAAAAGGCAGGAGATTGTTAAGGAATTAGGTAATGGGGGAGAGTCCCAGCCTCGGTGGAATTGTGCATGTGATTACCCACAATGCATACAGAAAAACCCGTTTGGGGGACGTGTATGCATATTAATGACATTATAATAAGCCTCCCTATGTCATAAGTTCACCTAAAGGAAAGCTTTTACTATTACTGTGTAGGTGCCTACTTAGGGAAAGTCCCTTCTATTGTTTTGGGATCCACATCCTGCTCTGGCATTCTGGTGATGCTGCTTTCTGATTGACTGGCAATTGTAATCCTGTCTGAGATTAAATGGATGTGGTTGTGCTGAGTGCATACCTGTTGTTTCTGTGGGAAATATGAGGAATGGGTATGAGAGCAGCGGCTAGCTAAAGGCAGTGGCTGGGATCCCATCACATGGACACTCCTGCTGTTTCTGTGAGAAATATGAGTTCATGGACACACCTGTTGTTCTGGTGAACAGTGAGGCATATATGAGGAAGTTAGGATATTGAGTGGAGAGGAGGCAGTGGCTAGGTAGGGGCAGTGGCTATATTGAGTCTGGGGGCCTTGGCTAGGTGGGCCTGCTGTTCGTTGAGGCCTGTGATTGAGTCTGGGGGCCTGTGGTGTGATTAAATCAGGACATGACTGCTGTTTAGTGGGGCCCATTAGGAAGTTAGAATGCTGGGGCTGGGGGAAACTTTATTAGGATCCCATCAGTGGCAGTATCAGAGAAGGGGGTATATATAAGAGATATTAAAAAAGATAGCAACAACAGGTCTTGGTAACTGATTGGATATAGGAGGTGAAAGAGGATGAGCAGTTGAAGATGTTACCTAGGTCACAGTCATGAGAGGATGATAGGGCCCGAGACAGTAATAGGGAAGTTCAGAAAGGAGGGAAGTTTTGGAGAAAAGATAATACGTTCAATTTTGGACATGTAGAATTTAAGATGCCTATGAAGCATCCAGTTTGAAATGTCCAATAAATAGTTAGAAATCTGAGACTGGAGGTTAAGAGAGGTTAGGGCAGGATCAATAAATCTGAGAACATCAAAGTGGTAAAAGCACAAGGGCCCTATTGACAGAAGCAAAAAAAAAATGTGTGTAGCCATTTGTTTGATAAGACATTCATTTGATCAGTGTTTATTGTACGGCCAGAAGACAATTGGCCCAGAATCATGTGCCTTTATAATGGATTGTAACGGCTCTAAATAATGAAGGTAAACTGTATGGAATATCTCATATGTATCCCTGCAGAGTACTGAGCCCTGGAGGATTCTATAGCTTTCCAAACAGTTTATCCTTCTTCTCAGATGTTTCTTTCCTTGACAGCACTCATGTGCAAGAAACAAAATCATCAAATGTTAAGAAAAGAAAGATAGGTAGAAAATAGTTGCATTTATACCATTTTTCTTTATTTTTATTTCTTATTTTTTATTTTGTGCTGCTTAAGTAGACTTTGAAACCGCATGTTCAATATCAGTTTTTTTTTTAAAATAAAGTGAGGCAATTGCTGAACTATTTATATTTTAAACTAATTTGTACCTAAAATGAAGACCACATGAAACCAAATTCAGATTCTGGGTTTGTTTATTTAACCATCTGCTTCAGGTATTTAGGTAATGTTGACCTTTCATGAAAGCAGAAATATAATTGAACTTGTTGGAAACTGTTTTTTCCCTTCGAGCTAACTTGCAGTGTGTTTAAAATGAACATTTCAAACCAAGTTTGGAAATATGTACTTCAATAACCATTGACCTTAGCTTAGTTTCCCTTATTCTTACTATTTCTGTATTTGAATTTCATTATTTTTTTTTTAACATTTAAGATAATCACTGAATATTGAGCAGTTGTTCAACAGAAACTTTTTATATTCACCAAATGATGACTCTTCTTTGTATCATTAAATTTAAGTCTTAAAAGAATTTTACAGGCTGTTTGTATGTAACATCTCTCAGATGAATGACAGTGCATTAGACTAATGTGCAGTCTAACATTATTACCTCCGTTGGGGCCTACAACACTGTTTCTTCCCTTTTCTACAAAGAGATTCCTCTTGCACTAGACCTAAGCATGCAATCTAGATTGGGTTTTTTAGGATGCCTGACCATCTAAAAGAAGGGTCAAACTCCTTTTCTCATACCCTTTGGCTTTTTACTCCTCAACTCTCATGTCCCATGGAAAAATTATTTTAAGCTTAGATTTGACCCATGTCTAGGATATTCCCAAAAGGAAGAGTAGAAAGATACTAAATGTATAATATAAATCAGGCATGGGGGTTTATTTCTGCCACACAAAAGAAAGGCTAAACACTCAAGGCTCTTATGAACTTTGCAGGTAATGACTATTGTTATACTGGGACGCTGAGACTTAATTATCAGAACGATATTCAGCAGAACTATTGAGTAGACATTGTTATATTTCACCTCACTTCTGAGCTGTTCAACTTTCTCCAGGTCCACGTCTTCTGGCAAACAAGGCCATGGTTTGCACAAGCACCAGTCAGCTCCAACTGAATTTCCCAAATCTCTCAACTGTCATGTTGAACTCAGTGGATCCTGGGATAAGACTCATCTTGGGATTTCTGTTCGGTCACCTATATTTAGGAAACTAAATTTGAAATAGAAAAGGCAGCCATTGATCCCAAGGCCTAGTTGAGCATGGGTTCCAGCTGCCGTATTTACTCTGAGGCCAAGTTCTTCTCACAGGAACACTACTTGCCATAATAAGGTCATAGGAAGAAATCATTCTTCCAGAGTCATTCCCTTTTTAAAGATCCATTTAAATCTTTAAAGATCCACTGGTTCTTCCTGTTCAATGGATGATTGCTTCATCATTCACAAAGTACCTTATCATTTAGGGCTAAGTTATATATGGTTGGCTAAAAACAACCAGAAACTTTAAGTACCCAAGCTCTCAGCTAGCATATGTAGTTGTCCAAATGCATATTTTAAACTAATTGTACCTAAAATGAAGACCACATGAAATGCACAGATGTACATGCTGTTACATTTTTTTTCCCTAGAAGGGTCAGACTCTTTTATCACATTCATTATACTCCAAATGCAGAGCTCTAGAGCAGTGGTGTCAAACTGAAATAATGGAGGCAGCTAGGTGGTGCAGTGGATAGAGGACCATCCGTTAAGTCAGGAGGACCTGAGTTCAAATCTGGCCTCAGACCAAACACTTGACACTTCCTAGCTGTGTGACCGTGGGCAAGTCGCTTAACCCCAATTTCCCCGCCCCCCCCCAAATACTGAAATAGAAACAGATGTCTGCAAACTGCATATTAACTTAGAAAACATCAAATTATTTTTTATCTATGTTGCATTGTATTTTTGTTGTTAAACAATACACATTTACATTTTAATTTGGTTGAGGGGCACTCAGGAGTGTTACAGTCTGTGAGTTTTGACACCTCAGTTCAAGAAGGGAAAAAAATATATAGCTTAGGTTTGGTTTATGTCTAACCTCTCCCAAAAGGGAGTAGTAGAAAAATTCTTAATGTGTAGTATAAATCAGGAAAATAAATGCTAACACAAAAGGCTTTAACCAACACACATTAACAGAAACACCAAAACAAGCAGCAATAATAATCACTGTTATACTTCCCTAGGAAGTTGAGACTTAATGAACAGAATATGACACAATTTGTGTGACTGCTGAATAGGCATTTATTTACACCGTTCATGTCTGGTGTTCCTGTCTTCTGGCAAGGGAGGCCAGTGATTTGGCTTAGCCTCTGGCCATTAGTTATTTCCTCCAAAAGCATACTGCTAACCTTTCACCCCTCCCCCATACTGTCACCAGTTAGCTTTGATCAAGCTCAGGACCCTTTAACTTCATTGCACATTATTTTACTCTGTTTATAGACCTGCATGTGTTTTTTTTAATATAATGTATATTTGTATGATAGGACCAGTGTTTTTCTCATGAAGCTTCCTTCATGAGAAAATGATGCATTTTCCTCCCCCTCATGAAACCTGATTGGCTCCAGATTCTTTGACAGCCTTCTTGGCCTGGGTGCATAAAAAATCTTTTCTACATGTGGCTGGGACCCTTCAGAATTGGTAAGTACTTGAAGACCAAACCCTGATGATATAATAACCATATATGTTTAATAGATGAGGGATACTGAGTCCAGAAAAACTAAGTGCCACTCTATCCAGGCCTCAACCCCATTGGTGAGTTAGGGGAATGTCTACCCTAAGCATGTGAAGACTTCCCCCGGTGGAGCGTGGGGATGAGAACAGTTTGTTTTAACGGCTACGAAGGTAGCTGAAGCAGACACTGTGGAGTGTGTAGAGCTTGGTCGGACATTGAAGATGCCGAGATGCCACTGCATCCTGGGCCATCTCCAGTCATACTGACTTTTGTCTTGCCACTGGACTTAGATGACTTACAAAGAGAGGGTGAAGCTGATGACTTTTTGCAGTTTTGCCTCACTTAAATCTAATTCATGCTTGAGTCAAGATGTCACCCTGTGTTGTCATTGGTCCTCTTTGAAAATGAAGGATGAACAATAGCAATAAGGCAAAGAGCTTTAGGGGGGAGTGGTGATGGTAGAGTATTGTGGGCTGTAGGTAAGTTTTGGAAGCCATACCAATCCTTATGTAGTATTGTCTTTATTAAAATATCACAAATATGCCATTCTGACAATTCAAATAGGTGGGTTTATATTTTATATTATTAATATGCAAATCTGGCCATATTGCTTGCCTTCTCAGAGATCTTCAGTGGCTCCTGATTGTACTCGATAGGAAAAAATTATTTACACTGGAATTTAAGGCTCTCTACAATTTGACTGCATTCTATCCTCATTGATGGAAATCGCTCAGTGCTCCACAGCCTGCTTGAGGAGTGAGGCTAGTGAAAAGACAGATCCTAGTCTTCTGGCTTTCAGCTTTGACAGAGAAGATGCAGAGTACAAGATTCTCTTCAGGTTCCTAAAAGGAAAGAAAGACTCTAGCAAGAAGCTGAGAGTAGAAAAGCCAGCAGTCTCAATCATGTCCCTATTCCCTGTTGACTATACTAGAGATTTCAGGGAATTTCCTCTTGGGTGAGAACTGGGACCTTTTTTTGGCTGAGGTGAGTTATCTCACTCCCAATGGGAAACTTTGCTTACTCTGTGTATTGTCTGGTATATTTTGTCATATTAATATTTCTCTTTTCTATCTGTTTGGGTAAATGGATTTATTCCCTATTTGTATTCATTGTTGAACTGGCATTTGGTGGAAATGGAATCAAGCCTTGGATATATAGCTTGGGGCACTCTTTCTCCATTAAGGGATAGAGATTAGGGGCACAGCTTAAGCCTAAAAATTATTTCCCCTAGACTAACAATATTTAAGATTGCAGATAGAAATAATTCTAATCCAGTACCCTTTCTCTCTGAGGAGAACATAATGGCTAGCCTCTGGTCCCAAACTCCTGCTTCCCTTCTTGGCAGGAATCAAAGATTCCCTTGGGAAGGGAGGAGACTCCAGAAATATTTATTATTGCTTACTTGTGAACCACACCTAGACAGACCCGTGTGAACACACATAACCTACCTGGGCAAAGCAGTGCAGCGCACTCACACGCTCCTTATACTAGTTTCATGCTATTCCCAATGATGCATTTAATATTCCAGCCAAATTACAGTATTAGGTGTTCACAGATTTTGTCTTGCCTTTTATACCCAATACCCTACATGCTTGGAATATTTCTGTCTGTTGAAATGCTTTTTCTTTTTTCAACATCCACCTCATGTACCACCTCCTTCATTGAAACTTCTGTGATCTCTCTGCTGAAAGTAACCTCATCCTCCTCAAAGTTTCTTAAAGCATATAGCGAAATCTTTCTGTACAATATTCTACCATGGCTAGGTATATGTAGGTACATCATTGGAGCTAAATGTAGTCTTAAAAAGTATACTTGATAACCAAAGGCTTGTTTCCTTATTCCTTCTCTGTTATTCCAGTGAGATTGCTGTCATGTGATCTGTCAATCAATCAGCCAGCAGAAAGAAAGGGTCACATATTATGTGGTAACTCAGTGGTGCTCTAGCCACCTGTGAGTAACTGATTCTCAACTCCACCCATCTCATGTTTGCACTCTCTCTCTCTCCCTCTCTCCCTCTGGGCTTTGTGTGGTAGCAGCCAGCCCTCAAGTTCAATGGCACTTAGTGGCTGTCACCTGGAATATACTAAAAAATTACCAGAAATGCTTAGTATCTCTTTCCCATTCCCCAGGACAGTTGGCTTCCCCTCTCAATAATGACTTACAGGATCTTATAATTCACTGTTAATAGCCATGCAATTTATTAAAACTATCAAATAACATAGAAAACACAAATAGATATTGAAAATGAAGCATAGCAGCCTGGATTGATTTATTTCCTTCCTTCCCTGTCCCCATTCCTTCTCCACATTGTGGGAGTAGGCTAAAAAGGAAAGTGATTTGGTAGGTAGAATGAATAGGGGCTTTCTCAGTTAGGCTTGAAAGGAATAGGAAGGAGAATGAAACTGTGGACAGGAATTTGGCTCATCTCTATGGCTATGCAATTGGCTGTGGCCCGATGACAGGCAGCTCCAAACTCACTCTAACTCCACACCACCTTGAGTTCCTTGCCTTTGTATCCTCCAGTTCCTGACCCCTCTGTTTCCTTCAATCAGAACTAAATCCATGAAGAGTTTCACAAGGAGATCTCTGCTCTGCTTTGATTTCCCCTGCTCACAGCTGGTGGGAAGTGCTCATCTGTTCCTCTCCTTACCTCATGGCAAGACAAACATGGAGCTTCCCCTTCCTACAACTACTTCATCCCCCCAGGCCAAAGGCAAGATTAGAGGTCTCTGCAAGGCCAAAGAAAGCAGAAACTTAATAGTTCTGGGAAGTGTGTGCCTACATACAGTCTGGATCACCACATCTCTATGACTCATCCTGAGTCTTCCCAGGTTTTAGACATAATATATAATAATAATTATGATAATAATAATAGCTACAAGCATTTATATAGTACGTTAAGGTTTGAAAAGTACTTTACATGTTATTGCACTATATCCTCACAAACAATCTGCAAGGTTGGAGCTATTCTTTTCCTCATTTTATAGATGGGCAAATTGAGTACGAGAAAAGTTAAGGGACTTTCTTAGATGTGAGAGGTTAAGTCATACTAAGAATGTCTGAATAGGATTTGAACTCAGGTCTTCTGAGAATCCAAGTCCAACATTCTAATCATTGAGTTGCCTAGCTGCTTTATATGATAACTATTTGTGTGCATATTGAATCCACCTTATTAGCTTTTAGGTTACAATTTCTTTGAAGGCAAAGATTCTGTCAGTTTTCATCTTGGCCCTTAGCACAGTACAATTAGCACTCAATTTGTGGAATTAAACTGAGTATCTGTCATCAAGCTTTGTCTTTGGTTCCCTCTCACCCTATCTTATAGCAATGGTATATATGCAATCAATGTACTAATCATTTCTTTTATGTGGAAGAAACAAATAACTGTCCTATACCTGATTTACATTGTATTTTGAATACTCTACTACTCCTCCCTGTTGGTGAGAATCTTGCTAGACACAAGCCAAACAAGGTTTAAGTGATTCTCCTTGGTTCCAGTATGGAAGTATAAAGAGCCAGATACTTTGAGAAAAGGCCCTGACCTATCTACTATACTGGTCAGGCTCTCCCTGTACTAAAACTGGGACAACTATCTGGATCCAGAGCTGAGAGGGGCCCATTAGTGAGAGAGAGAAAGAGTGAATGCCTCAGATCCAGTATGCCCAGCAGAGGTTTTTGTTATAACATTGAATTTTAACATTCATCATCAAAATTTCAAATTTATCTTTTTTTTATATTTAGGCAAAATAATTTTTACATATAACATATGTTAAATGTTATCATGGTCCACCCTTAAAACAAACAAATGAACAAGCAAAAATAAGCTAGAGTTGGAACCTGACTCATAGCCAATCAGGAAGCTGTTACCTAGAAAACTTTCCATGAAACACAAGAGAGAAAACAAAGAGTAGAAATGCTTCCCACATAGAAGCCCAGCTATCCAAAACCAATAGGCAATCCTATTATATGCATATTATATGATATTTAATATGTAATATGATTACATATTAAAATGTGGTATAGTGTTTGTTAGTGCTTATGGGATTGAATGGAGGAAGAGATCAGTCATACCATCTTCTGTTTATAAATTAATATGTAGTATGTACTTTTTAAGGTCCAAAAGTCTTAATTAGTTAATTAACTTGAGAAGAAAGGGGAAAGGACCCTTTTCCAAGAGTAGGGTTTGCTTCTCAATGCAAAGAATCAGGTTTTTCATACTCATCAGGAATGACTACCTTCAGACTTTCAGAACTGGGAATTCTATACTGGGCCTTTGCTTGATGACCTCGAAGGGAACATATGATCCTGTTTTGAAATCCGAATCAGAATTCATAACATGGGTCTGAAATAGTAATTAGGTATTTAAATCAATGGTGTTGAAGATTACCAAAGGAGACTTTTACTATAGGAAGTTATGCTGTAGTGGAAAAACACAAAAAAGATGAAGAAACAAAGCTAAGATTAGGTGACATGTTGAATTAATCTATTGTTATTACACGTTATTGATTATTCAGGCCATTTCCTTCTCATCGGCTTTCTCCTTACAGCTCAGTGGTATCTCCATGTACTTCTGAAATTTAGGGTTAGAGTATATTCACAAAGCCAATTCTGGAGAGTCCTGTGAGAGTATGCGCTAATGCTCCTTTATGCTATCCTATTAAAAAGTACAACAGTGTCGGTAACCCTACAAAATACAAGATAAATGCGCAGTTGTATCCTTGGATGGCCCAATCCTGTTCAAGGGTATTCTGGGTTGGGCTTAATTTAGGCAAGTGCCCTGGCAGTTTAGATATGATAATGGAACAAAATGAGATACAAGTAGATCATTTAACAGCAACAAAAGGAAATTTATTTAGCCATCACAAAAGATACATATTCAGTGAGAGAGAATAGGCAATGAGGACATTTTGAGTTTATTCAGCTGCATGAAGCTTTCTTGACTGTTACCTGTGGTTTTTCTGTTGGCAAAGTATCGAAGAGTTCCTAGAACTTTTCATGGCTGCTTTTTACCCAGAAGGCCAGGAAGTGACATCAACAAGCCAAAGCTTTTAGTTTCCTGAGTCAACCAGTTCTTGAGGATAGCTTCAATATTTACGTATCTATCTATTAATGCAAAATTTGAATATTTTCCTGTAGAGTATCTAAATACAATCACATCTACATTGTGTGTATATATAAACATACATACAATTTATGTACATATGCATGTATTAAATATTTATTTTATATATGTATACACCTATGTATATAGGTGTGTATATATATGCATATGTGTGTATATATATATGTACATGTCTATGTGTATATACACATACATTTTACACACAAACATATGAGGAAAAACTCGCCTAACTTGCAAGGATGGAGCAGATGTTACCACCACAGATATTAAGGGCAATAATGCAGAAGTGGACAAATTAAGGTACCTGAGAGAATCTCAGCTAAAAGATATTGTGGGGTTGAAATGCTTTATCTAGTTAGGTTTGGAGAATCATCTCTGGATTTCAGTTATCCATGAGAGCCTTTTCATCCGTTACCATGGATGATTAAGTGTTGGATATATCATTCATAACCTAAATGGAGAAGGCAAGAAGAGTAATTCGTTCTCTGCTATTATTTCTTTTTAGAATTCATTAATTAAAGACAATTCTCTTCCTCCTGTTATATGTTATAAAATTATTTTATGTTGTTTAGACCAGTGACTGACTGAAAAGTTTATGGCTTTTACTTATTACAATATATGTGCATGATACTTATGTCTACATATAGATAAAATATGCATGTTTAAAAATTTGGTAATATATGATGTTACAATAATGGAGTATTTGTTAAAAGCATTCAGTAAACTGTGAAGGAACCCCTGCCAAATAAACTATAGCTATTAATTTTCTCTGTTTAATTCTATTTACTCGATAGGAAGCTAATATATTCTCAGACTGCATGTGCCATGATACTGAAGTCAGCTGAATCAAGGACGTGGTAGCGTGGATGAAAGAATATAATGGGGAGGCAGTGTAATATAGTGGGAAGTATAATATACTCTTTTAAAAAAAATTTTAAAAAATTTTCCACTTAATATTATTTTATTTTTTCCAATTGCATGTAAAGGTAGTTTTCAACATTCACTTTCATAAGATTTTGAGTTTCAAATTTTTTTCTCTCTCTCCCTTCCCCCCTCCCCAAGACAGCATGCAATCTTGTATAAGGCTATATATTGTATAAGAGAAGAAATAGTATGCTTTGATCTGCATTTAGACTCTATAGTTGTTTCTCTGGCTGTGGACAGCATTTTCCATCATGAGTCTTTTGGAATTATCTTAGATCATTGTATTGCTCAGAAGAGCTAAGTCTATCAAAGTTGGTCATCACACAATGTTTCTGTTACTATGAACAACATTCTCCTGGTTCTACTCATTTCATTCCGCATCAGTTCATGTAAGTTCAGGTTTTTCTGAAATCTACCTGCTCATCATTTCTTATACAACAATAGTATTCCATTACATACATATACCACAACTTGTTCAGCCATTCCCCAGTTGATGGGCAGCCCCTCAGTTTCCAGTTCTTTGCCACAAAAGAGCTGTCATAAATATTTTTGTATATGTGGGTCGTTTTCCCTTTTTTGTGATCTCTTTGGGATATTGTAATATACTCTTGAGAAATGGGTTAAAGCCCTATTACTGATATCTACTATCCATGTTGGCATGGCTTAATCACTTTGCTTTCTTGAGCATTAGTTTCCTTGTCTCTAAAATGGGGATGATAATATTGTTACTATCTATGACATAGTGTGTAAAATATCATGTGAGTCTTCAAGTGTGGGTTGTATAGATAACCTTGCTCTAACATTGACATTTGCAACAGAGAGGCAGTGTCATGCTTTAATTACTGGTGGCTTCGAGTCCTTCCAGGCTTTTCCTTTACCCATCTCCTAACCCATTTCATTTCACTTTCTTTTTGATTTTTATATATTTCTTTCTTTTTACATTCTTTTTTTTACAGAATTTCATTTAGATATTCTAGGGGAAAATAACCATTTTTGCATTGCAGCACTTTGTACTTTTCAAAGTATTTTCACACCCCCAAGTTCATATTCTCAGTCACCTAATTTTATCATCATGGTATGACTAGTGACAGCATTGAGGCATGTAGGATAAGTATTATCCTTATTTTAGAAATGAAGAAATCAAGGGAACAAGAGGTTAAATGACTTGTCCATGGTTAAACAGCTAGACAGATCATACCCTAGAACCCAGGTCCTTAGATTTCTATTTTAGCGCTGTTTCCACAACAAGGTGCTGCCTTAGAATAATTTGCTCATAAAATAAAAAAATGCATGTTACTGCATTGAATTACTACCGTCCTTTTATTAAAAACAAAAAAAAACATACTTGCCAAAATGAAGTCTGAATTAAATTACATTAATGAAAAATTATCATGCAATATTTTGGTTGTGTATGTTATGTGCATAACACTGTGCTAGGCACCATAGGTGACACAAAAGAAACATGAAACACAACCTTTGCACTAAAAAGACTTGTAGTATCTGAGTCAACATGACGTAAATACATGGAACAAGGAAAATGAGAGACATAGAGAATGTTAATGGAAAGAAAAGAAAAATGAAATTGAATACTATGTAATTGTAATGACCAAGATTGGCCCCATCCAAAGAAGTGAAAAGGAAATCACTTCTTCACCTTATTTGAAGCAATGGGAGACTGGGGATGTAGAAATTATGTATATATGTGTGTGTGTATATAGGGGGGTGTATACATATGCATATGTATGTACACACATATACCATCAGATTTGGTTAAAATGTTCTTAGGTTTGC